ATAACATTCTCAAAGGCCTGTCTCAATAACCCCCAAAAAGTAACTTTTTCCAAGCTCCAGTTTATTTGTCCAGAGTTGGACAAATTCAGGAAAGAAGAGGCAGTAAGCAACCCCCGTAAGCAAGTGTCGCGAAACGTTGCCTTTCCTAACCAAGGGCTCACTAAACGAGCTGGACTAAAACTCCCATTCTCCCCAACCCCCCTGAAGTAGAAAAGATGGGAGACGTAGTCCAACACCGTTCATTCCTCCCTTTCCGCCATGGGAAAGAGCGCTCTCTAGAAGCCTATGAAGGAGAGGAGAGGGTTGATGTCAGCGGTCCCCGGCTGTTCTGGGACTACAACTCCCAGAAATTTTGAGCCACACAGCGGGTGGGGAAGCCTTCTGGGAGTTTTAGTCCAAGAACCTCTAGGGACCCAAGATCGGGAACCACGGGTCTCTTTCATCTAAACCAAATAGTTCATCTATTTACACGTAGAAATCGGTCACTGGTGTGGCAACCTTTCTTCCTCCCCGGCTGTCCACGAAGGACTTCCACTGACGTTGTGTTTTCCACTTCAACCGCCAAGGCCCTTCGCAATGGACCCAGGAGCCCCATCCCCTTCTGTTCGCACAAACAGGTTCGCTCGAGCGGGGAACTGTTTCACGACCGTGCTAATTAGGCTAGAAGGCTCGCCATGAGTCTTTGTCCGCACCCCCTTTTTCCCTCACCTGGCAGTACAGGTAATAGAGGCCCCTCTTGACCACAGTGAACTCCTTGCGGCTCCGGTCGTAGCGGAGGGGGCTCGTGGTGTTGAGGTTGGCTTCTGCCCATCCGTGGATGGTCCCGTTGGCATCTGCAGAGGGGGGGGTGTTGAGAGAGGGTTTGAGGGGGGGACCATGAGGGGCAGCCCCAAATGCCCCACCCGCTGCTCCCCTCGATAAAGCCTCCCTCTCCCGTGGCCCCACATAAACCTTGCGAGGGAAAGGAAAAGGGAGAGGGGCCTTATCCAGGGGTCCCCTCCCTCTCAAGACGCTTCTACCCGGGAAAGGTTACCTGCCTGGATCCCAGCACGACCTTCGCTGGATTGCACTGAAAGACAGAAAATGGATCCGACATGAAGGATCACAAAGGGGGGGGGGGTCTCAAGAGAGTGTGGGTGTTTGGAGAAGCACAGCTTGAGACCTACAGGGTGACGGGCGTTGCGCTCCAGAAAAGGAACTTTTCCACCCGCTGCAGGGGAGAGATGAAACTGCGGCCCGACTCTGCAGGAAGAACAGCCGAGGGCTGGGTTTCTCTCCCCCCGGCATGTGGGTCCCCCGCTCGAGAAGCCCCAAAGAGCCAGCCCACGGGTTGGGTGTTGGAGGAGAACCCTCAGCAGCCCCCTCACCTTCGTAATGTGCCGCGGAGACGGCGCTGGGTCGGCGTGGCCGGGCCCGCTTCCCTTTAGCGGAGGCTGCAGGAGGGGAGAGAAGATGGGGTGGGTGAACCGGCAAAGTGGGGAAGGGGTTCATATTTGGATGGGAGACCACAGGAAGTGGGAGGGGGAGCAAGGAAAGACTCCCCCGCCTGGGTAGCTGGGCAGCCACTGACAACACTGAGCTAGAATAGAAGGATCGAGGATGAGATTCGTGCTGACGCTCCCGGGCTTCACCTTAACAGGACTGTAAATTAGATGAGGCAGTTGCTCCTCTTTACTTAGACATCCCATTGAAAAATGGGCTTGTTTTCCAGTTAGACTGATTCCCTGCACGATTCATCATCACCATCACCACCATCATCATCATCCTCTCCCTTGTACCCATATGATGGAAGGATCCAACTCACCCTGCCTTCGTTGCCGCAGCGCCCCCTGCTGGGCAAGATGGTGCAGGAATTTCCCTTGGCTGTTCCAGCTGGTCGAGAGCGCCACCTAGAGGACGGATTGGGCAATATGATCACAACCCCTGGTCGCGGCTCTTATTATTTTCACAAAACCTGCCCACCAAGCTAATAAAAATTTATGGAGTTCCACTTCCACTGCAAAATGCTCAAGGCAGCACCCGCTCCTCTTGTTCTTTCAATCTCCACAGGACCTCTGGACGGGAGGCTCAGCTGAGAGAGGGAAGGGCTGATCCTGCCTTCCTTCCTTCATTTGCGAGAGGCCCCGAGTGGCTGGACAGTTCAGTGGTTTGGGTCTCTGGATGCCGAGCCAGAGGTTGTGAGTTCAATTCCTACCCCAGCCCACCCCGAGCCTCTTTGAGAGGGACTGGACTTGATAACCCACAGAGTCCCTTTCTTCTTGTTCTGCAGTTCTCAGATTATAATCTGAACCTAGGTCTCCCCGGGGTCTCCCCAAGAGAAATAGGGTCCCTCGCATGTCCTTTATACGGTCTGCCTTTCTGCAAAACAGCAAGGCATCTTTGTTCTGAAAACACGCTCCCCGATTCCTTCATATACCGACTCACAGCCGACACCCCCAAGGCAAGGAGAGGCAAAATCACAGCCCGCGTTGTGGCCATGATGAAAAAAAATCCACATACCTGGTCAAGATCCTCCACCTCTTCCTCAGACAGCAGCTCCTGAGAACCACAGGAAAAAAAGAGAGCCAGTCAGCATCCAACACTGGGCCAATAACCCGAGAATTATCATTCAGGGTCAATATCAGAGCGAGGCGTGTGCGCCCCGTGCGAGATGCAGCTGCGTTTCCGAACCAAGAGCCTAACCTTCTGGAAGGAGAACCATCCCCACCAACCCGCCCAGCCGCTTCGGGTCATCCCACGTCAGAAGAGGTTGGTTGTCAAAAGAACTGCATTCAGAGGATGCTTTGCGTGGGAGCGACACAATTTGCTCAGAAATTGGGAGGTTACTTTTTTAAAAAGTGATCCATTCCCATCGCTAGTTCCCAGGCTGGATCACTAACGGGTGGTGCCCTCAAGTTGCCCCCCCAACTCATGGTGACCCTAGGCACCAGCGTTCTCCGAAATGCCCTTGTCCTCAACAGCCCGGCTCAGCAATTGCAAACTCAAGCCTGGGGCTTCCCGGAGGGAGTCCGTCCATCTCATACTGGGGTCTTCCTCTTTTCCTGCTGACTTCCGCTTTTCCCAACATGATGGTCTTTCCTAGAGAATCCTGCCTTCTCGGGATGGGCCCAACGGAGAACAGCCTCAGCCCCACGAATGAGTTCTGGATGACTAAGAAGCTCCCTGCTCTTTCAAAAGAAGATTCTGAAGTGCCCCAAATGGTTACATAAGTGGTGTCGAGAGGATGCAAACTTCTGAGTTCCCTAAACATGAGGTTGCAAAAAAGGGGGGATGTGGAGGGAGAGAATCCTGCCTTCTCGGGATGGGCCTAATGGAGAACAGCCTCAGCCCCACGAATGAGTTCTGGATGACTAAGAAGCTCCCTGCTCTTTCAAAAGAAGATTCTGAAGTGCCCCAAATGGTTACATAAGTGGTGTCGAGAGGATGCAAACTTCTGAGTTCCCTAAACATGAGGTTGCAAAAAAGGGGGGATGTGGAGGAAAAGAAGGTGTTGCGCATTCTAATGGCCAAGAGAGAGTGCGTAATATCCATTGCCTTGATTCAGTGGGGCCGAGACGCACGGCTCCAGTTCTGACTCATCGCCACCGCCTACCCATCGTGTCCCCAGATGAGGTTCAGGGTTCTGAGGCTGACACGCAAAGCCCTCCACGGTTTGGGACCGTTTGCTATCAGGCGTCGTGTCTGGAACGTCTCTCCCCAGTGCCATCGGCCCGACCCACCAGAGCTTCCTAGGCTAACCTCCTTCGAGTTGCCACCTCCGAGGGAGACCCATTAAGTCATCCGCCAGAGGTCGGCGCTTCTTTGCGGTGGCTCTGACGTTGTAGAACAGTGGTCCCCAACCTTGGGCACGGTTTGGGACCGTTTGCTATCAGGCGTCGTGTCTGGAACGTCTCTCCCCAGTGCCATCGGCCCGACCCACCAGAGCTTCCTAGGCTAACCTCCTTCGAGTTGCCACCTCCGAGGGAGACCCATTAAGTCATCCGCCAGAGGTCGGCGCTTCTTTGCGGTGGCTCTGACGTTGTAGAACAGTGGTCCCCAACCTTGGGCCTCCAGATGGCTCCTCCGAGTCGCCACCTCCAAGGGAGGCCCATTAAGTCATCCGCCAGAGGTTGGCGCTTCTTTGCGGTGGCTCCGACATTGTAGAACAGTGGTCCCCAACCTTGGGCCTCCAGATGTTTTATTTATTTATTTATTTTATTAGACTTATATACCGCCCATCTAGAACATGTCTACTCTGGGCGGTTTACGCAAAATACAAAAACCAAAGATACAAATATAATAAATGAAAACATAAATGCATTTTTAAAATGAGGCCCAATTTTACTACAAGAGTCCAAGACGGGAAAAAAAGGAAAAAAGAAGAGGTAAAGTTAAGTACAGTGGTGCCTCGCATAGCGATCGCTCAGTTTAACGAAGAAATCGCTTTGCGATGATGTTTTTGCGATTGCTTTTGCAATCGCTTAGCGATGGTCCCTATGGGGAAAATTCGCTTTGCGATGATCACAGGGAAGCGATCATTGCAAAGCCTCCATTTTCGGCCAGCTGATCGGCGGTTCCAAAATGGCCGCCGGGTAAACAAAGTGGCCGCCCACTATGTTGCCTTGCTTTAGAGGCACCGAAAATAGCCGCCCCTATGGAGGATTTTCGCTTAAGGTTAGTTTTTAAGCAAATAGGAACACATTCCTGGCATTTTAATGCATTTCTATGGGCTTTTTAATATCGCTTAGCGATGAAATCACTTAGCAGCGATTTTTGCTGCATGGATTAACATCGCTAAGTGAGGCACCACTGTAATGGCTGTTGGGAAGGCCAATGTTCTTGGACTACAGCTCCCAGAAGCCTTCACCACCATCTCTGCTGGCCAGGATTTCTGGGAGTTGAAGTCCAATAACATCTGGAGGCCCAAGGTTGGAGACCACTGTTATAGAAGGCCCGGGTGGAGCTATACCTGCCCCCCCGCACTAATGTTTAGAAGACATCTTAAAACATTGCTTTTCCATGCCAACCCTGTTTGATTTGATGTCCCCTGTCCTGCCATCACCCAAGGAACTGCCTTGGGTGCTACTAGCTCTTATTTTACTTAGGTTTTAGTTTTTGCATCTTTCAGTTTATCACTGCCTGTTTCATTACTGTTGCAGTAATTCATTAATTCATATTGTTCAGTAATTCATCACTGTTGCAGTAATTCATTACTTTAGCATCCAACTAAAGTGCATTGCACAAACGGGGACATCTATAAATTTAAAAAAAATGTAAGTAAGTAAGCAAATAGTGGGTTCAAGCCCATGTTATCCTCCCTATGTTGCTTTCTTGTCATGTTTAGTTACCTTCCTTTCCTTTGGAGGCGGGGGTGGGTGAAGAGTTTATTAGAGAATGCCAAAAAAATAAAAAATGCCCCATAAAAATACCTTGGAAAATAAACCAGAAATGATTCCTGGTGCTTCAGGAAAACAACGTCACTTTCCCTGGTTCCTGTTACCTCTGAAGCAGAACCTCATTGCTTCCCCTTTGCCAGAAGGAGGAACAGAGGAGAGGTAATGGTATTACGGCACCGTCACACCGCCTTGCAAAAGTTCACTTCTTTTGAAAAGAGGGCGAGATACCCCAGCATAAATCTGTCCGGATCCTTAGGATGTTTAGATCACCCGAACAATAACATTCACAGCAGCAGCAGGAGCAAAAAACAAAACAAAACAAAAAACACAAAACCTTTTTGCAAAATGTATGTCACGGGTGTAACGAGATAGCGCTAGAGCGGTTCAGCGCTGATTTACTGCTCTGTACCTGGGAGAGTTGGAAGGTATTGGGAAGGGTTCAAAAATGTAGTGCTGAAAGATACCTAGGGGTTTCGGCACAGGAATGGTTGCTACGGGAACACAGCAAACAAATCTCCCCAACATATCCCCGCCACTGTCAGCAGGTTTTAAAAAGCTGAAGCATGTGGAATCTTCTTTTCTCTGGCTGCACCAGAGAAAACAAAACACAATAGGGAGGGGAGGGGAAGGGGGAAGAAGGTGCAAAATGAATATATTTTGGAACAAAGAGGGAACAAAGCATCTTTAGTCTGCACTGTGAAAGAGGCGCATGGGCGCATGAGACTGACAAAGGCCATTCACACATCTTTAAACTTAGAAATGGGAAATACTGGGTTTTTTTTTTGCCAATGCAATTCTCAGAATATCTCAGGCATCCTTATTTCCAGAAGCCTCTGTGGCGGTGGTTGCAATTGTTGGTGCTTTTAAGGGTAAGTTAGCCCTGCCAGCATCCAACCAGATTTATTCAGGGAATCCCTTAATCATCGTCATCCCAATAACCTTATAAATGCAGAGCTTGAAGGGGCCCCATGGATCATCAAGGGGGCACAGTGGGGTGGACCAGATGACCCATAGGGTCCCTTCCAGGTCTGCAGTTCTAAGATTATTATGGGATGGGGAAGCTCTTGCTCCCAACCTCTGGCTCCACATCCAGATCCCTCAACCACTGAGCTATCATGCTCCTGAAAAGAAGCAAGATCAGATTTTGCAAGGAAAGTGTTAACAAGGGACACGTTTAGCTTGTATGATCTGTTCCTTTTTGCTGGAACTCAGAAAGCCACAAAGTTCCTTTTTAAAGATAACATAGCAAAACAGTTGCATTTGGGTGCAACAAAGTAACTCCGGTTCCTTTTTCAAATTATTTTTGAGGGTATTTTTTTTTGGCATTCTCTTTCACTCAGTGGTTCCCAACTTTGGCTAAACAAGATGTCCTCGGACTGCAACGTCCAGAAATCCTGACCAGCACAGCAAAGGCTTCTGGGAGTTGTAGTCAGAGAACATCTGGACACCCAAAATTGGGAACCACTAATCTAGCCCTCCCCGAGAGGTCCCTCTCTCTCCCAGCTGGAACAAGGAACAAGGAGTAGCCAAAAAGGAACCGAAAACACAGGAAGGAGCGTGGCACAAAAGCTTTAAATCCCACAGCTTGACTCAACTAGGGTAGACCTATAGAATTCCATGGGAACTTGAGTCATCCAACACCGACTCCATCGGTCGCTTTAGCTAAGGCTAACGATGATATTTAAGGTAATCGGGATGGATGATTAGGCTATTCTGGGAGTGGCCATCTTAAAAAGCAACTTTCTCCACTTCTGTTTAAATGAGAAAATATGTGGTTATTTTTCCATGCCTGTCACATCTGTGATTATGAGCCCACAACTCACCGAGCTGTAGCCCTCCACTGTCCTCTTTATTAATTAAAACCGTTGTACTCCAGTAGCGACAGAAGGACGATAATAAAGAAGAGCAGATCCAGTTCTTAAAAGACTAGAAGCCAATTCAGGAGCTGACGGATTGCAGGATTGTAGAAAAGTGAAGTTGGAGGGGGCCTCCGAGGCCATCAAGTCCAACCCCCTGCTCGAGGCTTTAGCGGTGGTGAAGGAACAGACCCTTTTATTCCTCCCAGGTTTTCTGCATTGTTTTTTTCCCTCTTCCGGCTGCCCGTTTGCCCTTTTAAAACATTTCCAAAACCTCAAACGCATGGCTTAGCTTTCGATTCACGACTAAAGGGAAACATCCCCTATTTAAAATGGCCTTGAAGCCATGACCTCGGCAGTAAAATCAATCTGCACATGGTCAGAGATTCTCTCTCCTGCACACACACGGCCGTGCATTGTATTTACATAGCATAACAGCCCCCTTGATGAGACGTTATGTTTTTAAACCATCATGTCAGACATTCTGAGGCCGGCTGCAAAGAGTTTCAGGGGCCAAACCCTAGTCTCGAGCTTTATCCCCCCCGCCACACCATAGCCTAGAATGAGCTGGGTTGCATCCACTATTAACAGCTGCAAATACTCAACATTGAGGTCATTTTTACTGCCAAGAGCTTACAAGGAGAGACTCCAAAGTTTGCTGCAGAGATGGGAGGTCAGAAGGCCAGCGTTTGGAAAGCTTTATGTTCATTTGTTGTTGTTGTTTAGTCGTTAAGTCCGACTCTTCGTGACCCCACGGACCAGAGCATGCCAGGCCCTCCTGTCTTCCACGGCCTCCCGGAGTTGGGTCAAATTATGATTATTACTATTACTCAAAATGCTTGACACAATCAATCAAGATGAAAAGACATAGACTGCTTTTATATAACAGATACAAGTTCTGATCAAAAACCTAAGTCTCTGTTAAATGTTGGCACAGTATATATACTGTTCCTGATATTGCCTTTTTTTTTTTGTAGCTCTGAGGGTGTGATTTCTGAGATCTGCAACTGCTTATAGTACTTTGTGAAATTTTTTGGTACTGTTCCCAAAGCCCCGATGATGGCAGGGACTGCTGAAGTGTCTTTGATTC